TGGGCACGGTTAGTACTTGGATGGGTGACCGCTTGGGAACACCGTGTGCTGTTAACACTTTTTTTTTGCTTTTTTTTATTCTATTTTTCTTATCAATGAAATGGCCTATTAATTATATGTAAAAAAAATCAAAGATCAAGATTAATTGATTTAATTTAAACATTTTTTGAGAATATATCTTTTTTTTTCTCTTTTCTCTGTGTTTACATTATGGTTTATATATAAACTCTTTTGTAAATAATTCGAAAAATAAGAATTGTACGAATTACTTATTGGTCGATTTTATTTCGTTTTCCTTGTATCAATTTTTTAATTTATTCTTATATGTATATCTTCTTCTTAATATATATATATATATATAAATTACGTGTTACGTTGTTTATAATTTTTAAATTTGTAATTTTTATATTTATTTAATTAGGAAACAATGGCGGGATTTGTTATTTGCGGCAATGAATTTTCGAGTTCCTAATGCCAGTTAATAATAATCATAATAATAATTTAATTTAATATTATGTATTTTATATAATTATTTATATATTTTTAATTTTATTCTTTTCAAATTTATTTATTTATTTGTTTATTTTTTTTTAATTATTTATATATTATATAAGAAATTACTAAAAAAATTTGTTAATTATTACAATAAACGTTTAATTAATATAAAATTATGAATATTAAATAATATTAATATAATATTTATAATAACAATTACAATATTAATATCAACTATTATTTTATATATATATATATATTTTTTTTTTTATTTAAAATATTATAATAATTATATTTCGTATTTATTATATTATTTATATCTTTTTTATTTCGTAATTTTTTTCTTTCCTTAAACAATGATATTTAAGCCTTTTACTTTCGTCATTTTTCTCTTCCTTGACTTTTTTTTTTCCTTCTTTCTCATTCCCTTTCTTTTTTTCTTCTTTTTTTTTTTTTTTTTCGACAGATGGATGACGGATGTTCGTTCGTTCGTTCGTTCGTTCGTTCGTTACTCGTGTGCATGGTTTTCTATAGATCATTTCTAAACCTATATATATATATATATACTTTAAAATATATTTTGAATGTGTTTAAAAACGTGAAAGAGAAATAGAAAGAGAGAGAGAGAGAGAGAGAGAGAGAAAGAAAGAGAGAGAAAAAAGTAAAAAGGAAAGACCCTGAGCCACTAGGTAGACCACTATTTTTGAAACAAGCATTTCCAAGGTCAACAACGATCCAAAACTCTCTTCTCCAAACTTTCTGATCGTTTATGTTAGTCAACTTCCGTAAGAAAGAAAAAAGACAAATGTTCCTAAATTTCTTTCCTGTTTTTTTTTTTTTTTATTTTTTTTTTATTATTATTAATTTTATAAGTTAAGATTTATTAAAAAAAAAACAAAAAGAACAAATATTTTTTTATTGGTTTTTATTTTGATTTATATTTTTAATTTGTTCAAATTTTGTTTCACACCAAATCTAACAAATGAAATTTGTCCTTATTTTTTTTTTTTTAATAACAAAATTAATCAATTGTTTTAATTAATTAGTATTTTGTAATTATTTTTTTTTTTTTAATTTAATTTGTAATTTATTCGAAATTTTTTTTTTTACCAATAATAAATAAACATAATTTCTTTCCTTCTTTTTTTTTTAACCTTTGCTTATCACACTTGATCCAAAGGACCCAGACCTTTCTTGCAACTTGAGTCATTTTTCTCAATTGTTCAATTTTGATAATTTTTTCAACATATTTAAATTTAAATTAAAGCTATAAAACCTATATATTATTTTTAAGTAAGTATTAAAGAAGTCTCAAAAAAATGTTGAAGTAAATCTATGCAATAATTTTTTTTGTAAAACGATTTTTCTCGCCCGGGTCCAAGGGAAGTCTCAAAAGGAAAGCAGGAAAGGAGTCTCAAAAAATGTTGAAGTAAATCTATGCAATAATTTTGTTTTTTTAAACGATTTTTCTCGTCCGGGTCCAAAGGACCCGGGTGTGGTAAGCGTGTTACTCCAGAAAGGGTGGTAAAGAAAGGTTAAAAAAGAAAATTATTTAATTATTGTTTTATTTATTTAATGTCTTGTAATTATTTTTTATTTTAATTTTAATCTTATTATTAATTTATTTTAATAATTAATTTATTTTAATTAATTTATTTCAATAAGTTAATTTTATCATAATTTATTCAAATATTTTAATTTTGATTTAATTAGTATTCTAAAAATAATAACAAAATAATATTTCATTTAATTAATGTATTTCAATTGTTTTAATCTTGATTTAATTTGTAATTTAATTTTTTTTTCTCCTTTTCCAACTTATTTAGAAAAATAATTTCTACTTTTTCTTTTTTCTTCTTCTTTTTCATCTTCATCATAAATAGAAAACCATTATTATACTTAATTCATTTCTATTCGTTACTTTT